TTTCAATCGCCATTTAAAAAAAAAAATCGTCACCAATCATTTCTAATCCTCTTTCAATCGCCATTTAAAAAAAATCGTCACCAATCATTCTAATCCTCTTTCAATCGCCATTAAAAAAAAAAAAATCGTCACCAATCATTTCTAATCCTCTTTCAATCGCCATTAAAAAAAAAAAATCGTCACCAATCATTTCTAATCCTCTTTCAATCGCCATTTAAAAAAAATCGTCACCAATCATTTCTAATCCTCTTTCAATCGCCATTAAAAAAAAAATACCAATCATTTCTAATCCTCTTTCAATCGCCATTTAAAAAAAAATCGTCACCAATCATTTCTAATCCTCTTTCAATCGCCATTAAAAAAAAAATCGTCACAATCATTTAATCCTCTTTCAATCGCCATTTCGTCACAATCATTTTAATCCTCTTTCAATCGCCATTAAAAAAAATCGTCACCAATCATTTCTAATCCTCTTTCAATCGCCATTTAAAAAAAATCGTCACCAACCATTTCTAATCCTCTTTCAATCGCCATTAAAAAAAAAAAAAAATCGTCACCAATCATTTCTAATCCTCTTTCAATCGCCATTAAAAAAAATCGCACCAATCATTTCTAATCCTCTTTCAATCGCCATTAAAAAAAAAATCGTCACCAATCATTTCTAATCCTCTTTCAATCGCCATTAAAAAAAAATCGTCACCAATCATTTCTAATCCTCTTTCAATCGCCATTAAAAAAAATCGTTTCTAATCCTCTTTCAATCGCCATTAAAAAAAAATCATTCATTTCTAATCCTCTTTCAATCGCCATTAAAAAAAATCGTCACCAATCATTTCAATCCTCTAATCCTCTTTCAATCGCCATTAAAAAAAATCGTCACCAATCATTTCTAATGCCATTAAAAAAAAAAATCGTCACCAATCATTTCTAATCGCCATTAAAAAAAATCGTCACCAATCATTTCTAATCAATCGCCATTAAAAAAAATCGTCACCAATCATTTCTAATCCTCTTTCAATCGCCATTAAAAAAAAATCGTCACCAATCATTTCTAATCCTCTTTCAATCGCATTAAAAAAAATCGTCACCAATCATTTCTAATCCTCTTTCAATCGCCATTAAAAAAAATCGTCACCATCATTTCTAATCCTCTTTCAATCGCCATTAAAAAAAATCGTCACCAATCATTTCTAATCCTCTTTCAATATTAAAAAAAAAAATCGTCACCAATCATTCTAATCCTCTTCAATCGCCATTAAAAAAAAAATCGTCACCAATCAATTCTAATCCTCTTTCAATCGCCATTAAAAAAAAAAATCGTCACCAATCATTTTAATCCTCTTTCAATCGCCATTAAAAAAAAAATCGTCACCAATCATTTCTAATCCTCTTTCAATCGCCATTAAAAAAAAAAATCGTCACCAATCAATTCTAATCCTCTTTCAATCGCCATTTTGTAAAAATCGTCACCAATCATTTCTAATCCTCTTTAATCGCCATTAAAATCGTCACCAATCATTTCTAATCCTCTTTCAATCGCCATTTAAAAAATCGTCACCAATCATTTCTAATCCTCGCCATTTAAAAAATCACCAATCATTCTAATCCTCTTTCAATCGCCATTAAAAAAAATCGTCACCAATCATTTCTAATCCTTTTTAAATCGCCATTTTGTAAAAAAAATCGTCACCAATCAATTCTAATCCTCTTTCAATCGCCATTAAAAAAAAAAAAAATCGTCACCAATCATTTCTAATCCTCTTTCAATCGCCATTAAAAAAAAATCGTCACCAATCAATTCTAATCCTCTTTAATCATTAAAAAATCGTCACCAATCATTTCTAATCCTCTTTAATCGCCATTTTTGTAAAAATCGTCACCAATCATTTCTAATCCTCTTTAGATCGCCATTAAAAAAAAATCGTCACCAATCATTTCTAATCCTTTTTAAATCGCCATTTTGTAAAAAATCGTCACCAATCAATTCTAATCCTCTTTCAATCGCCATTAAAAAAAAAAAATCGTCACCAATCAATTCTAATCCTCTTTCAATCGCCATTAAAAAAAAAAATCGTCACCAATCAATTCTAATCCTCTTTCAATCGCCATTAAAAAAAAAAATCGTCACCAATCAATTCTAATCCTCTTTCAATCGCCATTAAAAAAAAATCGTCACCAATCATTTCTAATCCTCTTTCAATCGCCATTAAAAAAAAAAAATCGTCACCAATCATTTCTAATCCTCTTTCAATCGCCATTAAAAAAAAATCGTCACCAATCAATTCTAATCATCTTTAAATCGCCATTTTGTAAAAATCGTCTCATTTCTAATCCTCTTAGATCGCCATTTTTGTAAAAATCGTCACCAATCATTTCTAATTCCTCTTTCAATCGCCATTTAAAAAAAAATCGTCACCAATCATTTCTAATCCTTTTTAAATCGCCATTTGTAAAAAAATCGTCACCAATCAATTCTAATCCTCTTTCAATCGCCATTAAAAAAAAATCGTCACCAATCATTTCTAATCCTTTTTAAATCGCCATTTTGTAAAAAATCGTCACCAATCAATTCTAATCCTCTTTCAATCGCCATTAAAAAAAAAAATCGTCACCAATCATTTCTAATCCTCTTTCAATCGCCATTAAAAAAAATCGTCACCAATCAATTCTAATCCTCTTTAGATCGCCATTTTTGTAAAAATCGTCACCAATCATTTCTAATCCTCTTTAGATCGCCATTTTTGTAAAAATCGTCACCAATCATTTCTAATCCTCTTTAGATCGCCATTAAAAAAAAATCGTCACCAATCATTTCTAATCCTTTTTAAATCGCCATTTGTAAAAAATCGTCACCAACCATTTCTAATCCTCTTTCAATCGCCATTAAAAAAAATCGTCACCAATCATTTCTAATCCTTTTTAAATCGCCATTTTGTAAAAAATCGTCACCAATCAATTCTAATCCTCTTTCAATCGCCATTAAAAAAAAAAAAAAAAAATCGTCACCAATCAATTCTAATCCTCTTTCAATCGCCATTAAAAAAAAAAAAAAAAAAAAAATCGTCACCAACCATTTCTAATCCATTTTAAATCGCCATTAAAAAAAAAATCGTCACCAATCATTTCTAATCCTTTTTAAATCGCCATCATTTCTAAATCATTTCTAATCCTCATTCAATCGCCATCATTTCTAAATCATTTCTAATCCTCTAATTCAATCGCCATCTTCCTCCCCTCGACCAGGCCGGCGTTGAGATGAACGTGACGGCGCCCTTCTTCGACGACCCCAAGCCCGAGGGTCCTTCCGGCCAGCCCTTCTACGGCCTCTGGGACTACGAGGGTGAGTGCCTGCGCGTCCTCCTGTATGACCGGGGTAGGGGGGTTGGGGATGTTTTTGGGGTGAGGTCGTCCTCGGGGGGGGTTGGGATGGGGTGGGTATGGGGGGGTTGGGATGGGATGGGGGTTGGGGGTGGGGTGGGTGTCCTCGATGGGTGGTTGGGGGTCGTCCTCGATGTCGGGGGTTGGGGGTGGGGGGTCGTCCTCGATGCGGGGGTTGGGGGTTGGGGATGGGGTGGGGTCTCGATGGGGGTGGGGGTTGGGGTTGGAGGGGGTCTCGATGTCGGGGTTGGGGTCGTCCTCGATGCCGGGGGGTTGGATGTCTGGGGCTGGGGGTTGGGGTTGGAGGGGTAGTCCTCGATGTCGGGGGTGGGGGGTTGGGGGGTCGTCCTCGATGCCGGGGGTTGGGGGTTGGGTGGGGTGGGGTCGTCCCTCGATGTCTGGGCTGGGGGGTTGGGGTTGGAGGGTAGTCCTCGATGTCGGGGGTTAGGGGATGGGGGGGGTCGTCCTCGATGCCGGGGGGTTGGGGGTTGGGGATGGGGTGGGGGTCGTCCTCGATGTCTGGGCTGGGGGTTGGGGTTGGAGGGTAGTCCTCGATGTCGGGGTTAGGGGATGGGGGGGTCGTCCTCGATGCCGGGGGTTGGGGGTTGAGGGGGGAGGGGTAGGGTGTCGTCCTCTCCGTGGCGCTGTAGTTGTATTTTTTTTTTTTTTCGTTCTCTTTCTGCTTTGTTTATTTTTTTTCTTTTATTTTTTTTCTGTTGCTCCCTTTTATTTTTATTTTTGCTGTTGATTCGTAATGTCTATCTCTTCCTCTCTTTCCCTTTCTGTCACTCTCTTCTCTTTGTCTTCTTTCTGTTACTCTCTTCTACTGTTACTCCCTTCTCTTTCTCTTTCTTTCTGTTACTCCCTTCTCTTTCTCTCTTTTTCTGTTACTCCCTTCTCTTTCTTTCTTTCTGTTACTCCCTTCTCTTTCTTTTTCTGTTACTCCCTTCTCTTTCTTTCTTTCTTACTCTCTTCTCTTTCTCTTTCTTCCGTTACTCTCTTCCTGTTACTCCCTTCTCTTTCTCTCTTTTTCTGTTACTCCCTTCTCTTTCTCTCTTTTTCTGTTACTCCCTTCTCTTTCGCTTTCTTTCTGTTACGTCCTCCCTTTTTCCCTTTCTCCTTGCTCTCTTTCTCCCTGTATGTTTTCACGTTCTTATATTACTTCCTCCTTATTCATCATCGCTCTCCACGTCCCTCTTTCGCTCTCTTATATTACTTCCTCCTCATTCATCATCGTTCTCCACTTCCCTCTTTCGCAGTCGTGGATGTTCTCTTATATTCTTCTCCTCATTCATCGTCGTTCTGCACTTCCCTCTTTCGCAGTCGTGAGATGTTCTCTTATATTACTTCCTCCTCATTCATCATCGTTCTCCACTTCCCTCTTTCGCATCGTGGAAATATTCTCTTATATTACTTCCTCCTCATTCATCATCGTTCTCCACTTCCCTCTTTCGCAGTCGTGGAGATGTTCTCTTATATTACTTCCTCCTCATTCATCATCGTTCTCCACTTCCCTCTTTCGTTCTCATATTACTTCCTCCTCATTCATCATCGTTCTTCTCTTCCCTCTTTCGTTCTCATATATTACTTCCTCCTCATTCATCACCGTTCTCCACTTCCCTCTTTCGCAGTCGTGGAGATGTTCTCTTATATTACTTCCTCCTCATTCATCATCGTTCTTCTCTTCCCTCTTTCGTTCTCATATATTACTTCCTCCTTATTTATCACCATTCTCCACTTCCCTCTTTCGCAGTCGCGGAAATATTCTCTTATATTACTTCCTCCTCATTCATCATCGTTCTTCTCTTCCCTCTCGGTTCTCATATATTACTTCCTCCTTATTTATCACCATTCCCCCCCCCCCTCTTTCGCAGTCGCGGAAATATTCTCTTATATTACTTCCTCCTCATTCATCATCGTTCTTCTCTTCCCTCTTCGGTTCATATATTACTTCCTCCTTATTTATCACCATTCCCCCCCCCCTCTTTCGCAGTCGCGGAAATATTCTCTTATATTACTTCCTCCTCATTCATCATCGTTCTTCTCTTCCCTCTTTCGTTCTCATATATTACTTCCTCCTCATTCATCATCGTTCTCCACCTCCCTCTTTCGCAGACGCGGAAATATTCTCTTATATTACTTCCTCCTTATTTATCACCATTCCACCTCCCTCTTTCGCAGTCGTGGAGATGTTCTCTTATATTACTTCCTCCTTATTTATCACCATTCTCCACTTCCCTCTTTCGCAGTCGCGGAAATATTCTCTTATATTACTTCCTCCTCATTCATCATCGTTCTTCTCTTCCCTCTTTCGTTCTCTTACATTACTTCCTCCTTATTTATCACCATTCTCCACCTCCCTCCTTCGCAGTCGTGGAGATGTTCTTCCTCAACGACAACGACGAGTACCTCGAGGTGGAGCTCGGGCCTTGGGGGCAGCACCTCCTCCTCCTGCTCAAGGGCGCCCGCAACGCCATCAAACACTCGATGCCCCTGGACTACTTGGCCCAAGTCCCAGCGTCGACGGACGTAAGGAAACCGGGGATTCCTTATCGGTGTCGTTATCGGTGTCGTTGTGTTTGTCTTATTCTTATTCTTCTTCTTCTTATTATGTCTTACGTTGTGTTTGTCTTCTTCTTATTCTTATTCTTGTTATTATTATGTCTGATAAGTGTACGTGAATTTACGAGGGTGCGATGGTGGATTGAGGTGTTAATTTTTTGTTTTTTTTCTTCTCTCCTCTTCCTTCTTCTTCCTCCTCCTCCTCCTGCTCCCGCTCCCCCACCTCCTCCTCCTCCTCCTCCTCTTCCTTCTCCACCAACACTTCCTCCTCCTCCCTCTCCCCCCTCCCTTATTCACACTTCCTCACTCGTCCTCCTCCTCCTCCCCCCACCTCCTCCATCTTCTCCACACTCCCCACACCTCCTACTCCCCCTTCCTCCTCCACCTCCCCATCCTCCTCCTCCCCCATCCCCCCTCCCATCCCTCCTCCCACCCCTCCTCCTCCTCCACCCCCTCCCCATTTCCCCCCTCCCCCAGGGCAAGTGGAAGGGCTCGGCCTTGATCCCCCCGAGTACTTCCCCCCGAACGTCAGCCGCGTCAACGCCTACGCCATCCACGGCACCGACAAGGCCCGCGTGTACGAGTCCCTGTTCCCGGCGCCCGAGAACGACCCGGACTTCCCCCAGCCGGACTTGTGAGTACCGGGGAAGGACAAGGGGACTGACTGTTGTTGATATGTTTGTATTTGTTCGTCTGTCTGTTCGGCACTTTTTTTGTGTATGTGTGTGTGTGTGCGTGCGTGTTTGTGTGGGGACTGACTGTATGCTTTGTATTTACTCGTCTATTATTCGACATTTTTTTTTTTTTTTTTTTTTTTTTTTTTTTTGTTGTGTGTGTGTGTGTGTGTGTGTGTGTGTGTGTGTGTGTGTGTGTGTGTGTGTGTGTGTGTGTGTGTGTGCGTGTTGTGTGTGTGTGTGTGTGTGTGTGTGTGTGTGTGTGTGTGTGTGTTGTGTGTGTGTTTGCACAATCTTATGTTGATATGCTTATATATAGACATCTATGTATTTATCTATCTGTTTATCTATATTTGTGTATGGGTGTGTGTGTGTGCGTGTGATGTCTCTGTGTGTGCGTGCGTGCATGTCTCTGTGTGTGCGTGCGTGCATGTCTCTGTGTGTGCGTGCATGTCTCTGTGTGTGCGCGTGCGTGTATGTACGTACGTGTATTCTCGTACATGCGTAGGTCTTCCCTCTCACGAGCCCCGCCCCCTGACCGCTTCCTCCCGCAGCCACCGCCTGGAGCTGTTCAAGCCGATCGACTTCCAGTTCCAAGTGCCCAACAACTCGGAGTACTCGCAGCTGTGGCAGGACGCCATGGCCAGCGGCGGCAGCTCCTCGACGGGGATCTCGGTGGGTTCTCTCTCCCGGGTCCTGATGGTGGGCCTGCTGTCGGCGGCGGTGATGGGCGCAGCATGGGTCACGGGGCGCTGGTGAGAGTCCACACCCACGCCGCCCTCCCCACCTCCCCCCCTCAGAGCCCGTGGGCGTTGGTAGTAGCAGCCCGGTGGTGGTGGTGATGGTGGTGGTGAATCGGGTGGTGGTTTTGGTCGGTGGTGGTGCAAGTGGCAGGAAAAGACATCTAGTGCCTTGCAGCTTGGAATAGCTGCCTTGCTCTTCTCGAGGGAGAGTAAATCAATTAATTCATTCCTCTTTTCTTCTTCTAATACTTCCTTTTCTTTCCTTTCTTGGCCGTTTGCTCGTTTCTCTCTTTTTTACTCCTCGTTTTTTTATTTTATTTTCCTGAAGACAAATGAAAACTCTCCCTCCTTCATTTCTTGTTTGAACTCATATCTCTCTTTCCCGACTAACAAATAATATTCTCTTAATTGCAAGATGCTGTATATGAATCAAATTTCCCCACAATTTTGTGATTATCTAGTGTTTGCATGAAATAGTGTATAGCGTTGATTTGCTGTGATAGGAAAATTAATGAACGTGTATATAAAAATCACGAACTATGTAGCTTGTCATCAGATCTCAGATAGTTTGGCATGTATAAGAAATAAATTGCTGAAAAAGCCTCGTCTTTGGAGTGGCCTCATGTAACAAAGAAAGATGACTAACAACACTGTAGAAAGATCCGTTCATTGCTTGTCTCGTCGACTAACTAACAAGGACTGAATGTTATGCCGACTGCATGGCGACCTGCACTAATCAGAGGTGTGCAGATGAAACGCCTGACACTAAGTATGTGTTGTAGTATTTGACATATTCTGGGATATAACGTGAGACATGTCACAAGTTTTCATATATTGTCCAATGATTTTTGAAACTTTTTTTTTATCGTCTTAGGAATAATCCACACACGTAAAAGAGAATTTATCTAATCTTACGATCTGTCTCCAGCCGGTGGTTAAGGACGAGGAGGAGGTGGAGGTAACGACGACGCTGGGTCTCCGCGACGTTGACGAGGAGTTCGTGACCACGTTCGCTCCCGAGACGGAGAGGCCCTTCCCCTCCTCGACGCGCCGCAGGGGAGGCCAGGGAGGCTCCCCCACGCGGCGAAGGAGGCCGATGCCGCACCGGGTCGACTCGGAGGAGGACGTGTCGCGAGGGCAGAGCCGGAAGGAGGACCAGTCTCTGTTCCAGCAGCGGCGAGGCGAGGCGCAGTTCTTCGCCCCCGGACCCGTGCCCAGACCTCATCAGGTCCGGGGAACCGCTCCGGGCCGGTTCCAGGACCGTGTGCTCGTGTCGGAGGCGGCGGACCAGAATCGGAATGTCGACCAGCGGTTCTCGCAGGGGGCTGATGGATTCCAGAACCAAGGATTCCAGTTCCAGGACCAAGGACGCCCCCAGGCAGCATTCCAGGATCAAGGACGCCCCCAGGTAGCATTCCAGGACCAAGGACGCCCCCAGGCAGCATTCCAGGATCAAGGACGCCCCCAGGTAGCATTCCAGGATCAAGGACGCCCCCAGGCAGCATTCCAGGATCGGGATAGGTTCGAAGAGGCTCGCCCATTCCAGAACCAAGGTCAGTTCCGACCTCCACAGCAGGATCGCAATCGGTTTGAAGAAACTCGCCCATTCCTGGACCAAGGGCGGCCACAGCAGGATAGGTTCGAAGACACTCGCCCATTCCAGAGCCAAGGGCAGTTCAGACCTCCACAGCAATTCCAGGGCCAAGGCCAGCAGCAATTCCTACCTCCGCAGCGATTCCAAGAAGAGAGAGAGCAGCTATTCCAGACCCGACCCGAAGCGCCAGCGTTCCAGGAGGCCGACCAGTACGAAGAGACGCAGCCGTTCCCGCAGGACCAAGACCCGCAGGCGTTCCTGGCGCCGCAGCCGGACCCAGAGCAGTTCGAGACGCAGCCGCCGTTCTTCCCGGAAGAGGAGGAGGAGGAGGAGGAGTTCCTGGCGCCGCAGAGGCCGAGCCCGAGCGTTCCCAGCAGCCAGCCCAGCAGGGTGTTCAGCAGCCCGCCGCTCGTGAGGGAGGGCGAGCAGGTGGCGTCGCCGGAGGTGGAGGCGGCCATCCAGACGCTGTCGCAGGGCACGCCGGCGCTGCCTCCCCCCCACCCCGTGTGCTTCGAGGCGGGCCTGGTCCCTGACTACCAGCTGTGCTACGCCTTCCACGAGTGCGTGATCGAGGACGGCGAGTGGCAGATGTACTCGTGGCGCTGTCCTCCAGGCCACGTGTACGACCCCATCAACGTAGAGTGCATACGGGGGCGGTGCGCCAGCAGGAGGAGGCTCGGCTGAGGGGGCGTCGAGGTCGGGAAAGGGACGGCGCGGAAATGAGCAGAAGAAAAACCACAAAAAGTTAAAATAAAGTCAAAACACATGCACAAACAATGAATAAAAAAAAAAAAAATAAAACATAAAATAAAGCTCATTTTAGTGGTTTAAAACGAGCTGAAAAAAATGAAAAGTCAAAACACATACACGAAAGATAAAATACACACCAAACAAAGAAACAAAACAAGAGCTCATTTTCGCGTGTTGACGAACAAAGAAAACGGAAGAAAAAAAGGGGAAACTCAACCACATGTGTACACTTTTATGGAACCTTTTTCAGGGCGTCTTGAACTTCCAAGAACTGACTCGAAGAAGCAGAGAGACCCCGGGAAAACTATTCTATATTTTGCATATTATTAAGTTGAATTACGCTGTTGCGGGCATATCATGACTGAAGTTAGTTTCATAAGCCTTATTTACCCAATACATTCCAGTTATTGTGTGTCTTGTCTCTGCTGATTCAGCAGGTTGTTATTTGTTACAATAAAAGATTTGTGATTATAATTGAGATTTAATCACCCTCGCATGGAGAATGTCCTAATGATCTTATCAGCATAACTAATATCAAAAGTATGTTATTTCGTCCTACTATGCTATCTGTAACCTTATTTTAAATGTGTTGAATATATCTCATTCAATTTGCTGATATTTTCAAAAATATAATATATATATATATATATATATATATATATATATATATATATATATATATATATATATATATTATATATATATATATATATATATATATAGACAGACTATAAAGGAAACTGCATTACACTTGTTCATAAATGAAGCCTTATTACTGTCCTAGTAAGTCGCGAATAGCAGAGCTATCATAATATATAATCGCTGTTTTATGCAAGAGAAAGCTAATATAGTAAAGTCACCCCCCAAAAAGAATATATTTTCTGTAAATACAATGATATTCGTTTTCTTTAACACTATAATTTGAGGGAAAACTATTATTTATTTATAATTGATATCCACCAAGCCTGGAACAGATACCAAATATTTTCTTTTTTAGTTTTCACAAGCAGACTGAGATACGGCCTTTCTCGAATCAAAGATAAGTCAAACAAGTCGGCACTGTGCAGTAAGGCAGCAATATGTCACCTGGTCAGATACGGAATACAATTGTTTTTTTGTGATGGCTAGATGAGTCGGGTTTTAATAATTTATAACAATAATGGAGTTACATAATTCAGTGTACATACATGGACATGTACAACCATACAAACACACACACACATATTTGTGCGTGCATGTGTGTGCATGCGTATATATATATATATATATATATATATATATATATATATATATATATATATATATATATGTGTGTGTGTGTGTGTGTGTGTGTGTGTGTGTGTGTGTGTGTGTGTGTGTGTGTGTGTGTATGTATATATGTATATGTATGTATATATATATTATATACATATACATACATATGTATGCATGTATGTATATATATATTATATATATATATATATATATATATATATATATATATATATATATATATATATATATATATAATATACCTCCGCCAAGGCAATAAGGTCTCTTGCAATAAAAAAAAATGTTAGCATTAGCATTCCTGTTACTCTGACCATCGCTAAAATCCCAAACACACACATATAGATAGTGTACCTCATCTCCTTTCCTTCTAACCTTCCTTCATACCACAAACACACACACCTGCCTTACCGAACTTGCCATCTCATTCCCCCTGTTACTTCCTTGTACAGTTTTCGCAGCCCCTAAAAAAAATAGCCATCAAAAATAGCGAACGGGCACCTGCAATCAGCGAAAAGAGCTATTTTAGTCCAGAATTACAATAGAGTTTTCCTTCCGACGCTTCTGGCTGAGGTCAGATCGCGGAGAACTTCTAGTAGAGTAAAGTGTTGAGAGTGGAATGGTGTAATTCATTCATATTTTCTCTCCTTTTTTATAGTAGATAATTAGCGAAACCCTGTTTTATGTGTTGTAAATAATGAGAGGGTTTGTTGGTGATTATTGGTCGTTTAATTTGTGTTGTGAGTTGTGAAACGTTGAGAGTGGAGACGTATTCAAATTGTAACTTATTATTATATTTTTATCTTTTTTATAGTAGATAATTAGTGAAACCCTTTTTTATATATTGTAAATAAAAGAAAGGGTTCATTAGTGATTAATCGTCGTTTAATTTGTGTTGTGAGTTGTTTCATTGGCGTTAATTGTGGTTATGATGGATTGTGTTTACGTTTGATATCGTCTATCGTTCGTGTTCCATAGACGATTATAATGTTTATATAAATGAACCATAAGTTGATTGTTATTTTACAAGTTGTACCTTCCGTCTGGTGAGTATCATATTCTATAATATTATTTTTCTTTTTATTTTGTGGATTCTTTTATTACCTTCATTTCTTGGTTCAATTTTAGAGTAGAAAAAATGACATAAATTATTAGGAAAACTATAACACAAAGCATAAAATCTATTTGAAAATGTCTCGAAAATAAAAGAAAACAACAAAACCACATTACTATTTTGGTGAAGTAATACGTATCACAGTACTTTTTTATACCATTTATTTTTATTTATTTTTATACCACCATGTTATCTCGACAAATTACATCCTCATTTTTATCCCACTTGACACCCTAGACCGTCATGTGAACGTGTGAAAAGAAATCCTACAACAAACTCAACGAAAAGAGACAGAAAACAACACGTTTAAATCATCAGCGGAGAGGGAACTCGACTAAATGAGGTAAGGTCAAGTATATGACCTGTTCTGTGACCTACTTCGCCCTCAGGTCATGTTCGCTATACGCTGGGGTCATATGCTGGGGTCATCTCCTAACCGCTCTCATACCCCATACCTCCTTGTATTTTCCTTTTTTTTCATCTATGGTTGAAAAAAAAAAGATAAGATAAGATACGTAGAGACATTTTAACATTTTAAATAAGGAAAACAAAATTATTATGAATTAAAAAAAAATATTATGAATTAAAAAAAAGATGTATTAGGTAAGATACGTACAGACATTTTAACACTTTAAATAATGAAAACAAAATTATTATGAATTAAAAAAAATATTATGAGTTAAAAAAAGATGAATTAGATAAGATACGTACAGACATTTTAAAATTTTAAATAAGGAAAACTAAATTATTAGGAATTAAAAAAAAAGTATGAATTAAAAAAAAAGATGAATTAGATAAGATACATACGGACATTTTAACATTTTAAATAAGGAAAACAAAAGACCTTTTTCGGGGACACACTCAAAGAAAAGCAAGAACTCCTTCAAATATAGCGAAGGTATGTTTGCGGGTGAACTAGGCGTTCTCAAAAAAAAAAAAAAAAAAAAAAGTTTAGGATTTTGGGATTAACAACATTATTTCGATCTGTTGGCGTGGGCTTAATTCTTGCTTGTAATGTGTACTTTTTTCAAGTAGAAATGAATGTAGGAATACTATTTGTAACAATATAGTGTAATAAGGAGAATTAAACAATTCAAATTTCTACAAGGGCGGCATTATCATTCATTCATTCACGAAAACCATCACAAAATGCAACTATGTTTGACTTGTGTAATATTGTTTCAGTTATATTGTTTTATCTTATTTTGTATTTGCATTTTCTACGCCCGTTGTAATTGGTAGTTGGCAACTTGGCGGGAGCTTATAAAGGTACAGTCAAAGGTACTCATAGATTCGTGGCAGTTGGAGGAGAGTCGCTGGGGAGTCTGGAACGAGTGTTTGTGTGTGTGTGTGTGCGTATGCGTGTATGTGTGCGTGCGTGTGCGTGTGTGTGTGTGTGTGTGTGTGTGTGTGTGTGTGTGTGTGTGTGTGTGTGTGTGTGTGTGTGTGTGTGTGTGTGTGTGTGTGTGTGTGTGTGCGTGTGTGCGTGTGCGTGCGTGCGTACGTGTGTGCGTGTGCGTGTGCATGTGCGTGTGCGTGCGTACGTATGTGTGTTCGGGTTCTCGTGATAGATGTGTCTTCGCCTTCAGCCACGTCGCTACCCGGGTTGTATGTCCTCACGAACTACAAAGGTAATTTTACGACACCCTAGCGCTTCCCCATAACCTCATCTTGTCTCTGTATATGTTCTCAGCTTCCTACAACCTCCCCCCAATAAAAGAATCACCCGAATCAGTCTCAGAGTCAAAGAAAATGCCCGACAAAGTAAAAGAAAAGAAAAGAAAAAAATCGCACCCCAATGTCTCGTTTGTTTACATCCGCCAACGCATGCGCAAGACCCACCAATTTTTTTTTCCCGAGTTCTCATTGTTTTTCTCGAGTCAAAACTTTCTCTTCTGAGTTCGTTGAAGAAATGGGAGATAAAATTCAGATACCACGATACATCCTGGTAATCGAGCAAATACCTCATGCATTTATTCATAAGTTTACTGAGACAAAATAAGATTAGAGAGAGAAAAAATAGGAGAAATATATTAACCTGTCTTCTACCTTCTTATATATCTATCTATCGTTCTATTCATCTATCAAGCTATACCTATATATTTAATCAATCTTCTACCTTATCTTCCTATCTATCTATCGTCCTATATATTTATCCATCTATTACTACATCTATTATACATCTATCTATCGTGCTATATATCTATCTATCATCCTATCTACTGTATCTAACCATCCATCTATCTGTATCTAACCATCCATAATCTATCTATCTATCTATCTAACCATCCATCTATCTAACCATCCATCCATCTATCTAACCATCCATCTATCTATCTAACCATCCATCTCTATCTAACCATCAATCTATATCCATCCATCCATCTATCTATCTATCCACCTATCTACCCATACACCCCATCCATCTCCCTCTCTCTCCCTACATACTTACTCTTACCTACCTACCTACCTACCCATCTTCTATCTCGTCTCCCAAGATGTAACTTCCGGGAGATCTCAAGATGTCTGGAGCTAAGTCGCGTCTCGGCCCGGCCAGGAACTCCTCCCGGCGCCTTCCCATGGCCACCTTCAGCGCCTTCGTCTGTTTCTTCATCGCCGTCATGGCTGCTTCTTCGACTGCCGCGGGTGAGTCTGTGTGTGGGGAGGCTGGGAGAAGATGAAGGAAGCGGGTGGGGATGGGATGGGGATGTGGGGAGGGATAGTGGGAGGGAGAGGGAGGGAAGGAGGGGAGATAGAGGGGGTGAGAGAGGGAGTGGGAGGGGTGTAGGAGGGAGTGTAGGAGGAAGGGTAGGAGGAAGGGTAGGAGGGAGGTAGAAGGGGAGGGAGAGAGAGAGAGAGAGAGAGAGGAGAGGAGAGAGAGAGAGAGAGAGAGAGAGAGAGAGAGAGAGAGAGAGAGAGAGAGAGAAAGAGAGTGAGTGAGTGAGTGAGTGAGTGAGTGAGTGAGTGAGTGAGTGAGTGAGTGAGTGAGTGAGTGAGTGAGAGAGGAGAGAGAGAGAGACAGAGACAGAGACAGAGACAGAGACAGAGACAGACAGAGACAGAGACAGAGACAGAGACAGAGACAGAGACAGAGACAGACAGACAGACAGACAGACAGAGAGAGGTGTAAGAAAGAGAAAATTCAGAGAAAGGAAAACGAACCCAAACCTAACGTAAGTACCCACCAAAACCCACTCAACATTGCAACACCTATTGCAGGAGGAGGAGACCCCAGCGCCCCGAACCAAGATGCCATCAACATTATCGTCAAGTCCTCAGTCCATCAACTACTCCTTATAGTTGACGGCACTACAGTAAGTCCTTTTTGAAAACTATATAAACTTTTTTCTCATCCCCACTTCAACGTAACAGTAAGTCCTTTTTGAAAACTATATAAACTTTTTTCCTCATCCCCACTTCAACGGCACTACAGTAAGTCCTTTTTGAAAACTATATAAACTTTTTTCTCACTTCAACGGCACTACAGTAAGTCCTTTTTGAAAACTATATAAACATTTTCCTCCTTCCCACTTCAACGGCACTACAGTAAGTCCTTTTTGAAAACTATATAAACTTTTTTCTCTTTCTCACTTCAACGGCACTACAGTAAGTCCTTTTTGAAAACTATATAAACTTTTTTTCTCTTTCTCACTTCAACGGCACTACAGTAAGTCCTTTTTGAAAACTATATAAACATTTTCTCTTCCACTTCAACGGCACTACAGTAAGTCCTTTTTGAAAACTATATAAACTTTTTTCCTCATTCCCACTTCAACGGCACTACAGTAAGTCCTTTTTGATAACTATATAAACTTTTTTCCTCATCCCCACTTCAACGGCACTACAGTAAGTCCTATTTGATAACTATATAAACTTTTTTCCTCATCCCCACTTCAACGGCACTACAGTAAGTCCTTTTTGAAAACTATATAAACATTTTCCTCATTCCCACTTCAACGGCACTACAGTAAGTCCTTTTATATAAACATTTTCCTCATTCCCACTTCAACGGCACTACAGTAAGTCCTTTTTGAAAACTATATAAACATTTTCCTCATTCCCACTTCAACGGCACTACAGTAAGTCCTTTTTGAAAACTATATAAACATTTTCCTCATTCCCACTTCAACGGCACTACAGTAAGTCCTTTTTGACAACTATATAAACTTTTGTCCTCATCCCCACTTCAATTATCCGGGAATTTTATGAAACCGTTGATTAATCTTTGTAATGATCGTAATTAGATAATCTATTTACTTTCTTAAGAGTATGTTTGTGGTTATTATGTCAAGTTATGAAGAGAATGTACTTTTTATGTTAATTTATTACGGAGAAACAAAACGTAAATTATGTAGAGAGTTTGACTAATGATTTTTCAAAATTCTCTTTCTTTGGTAGCGTAAAAAAAGGTAGATATAGGATATATATATGTAAGCATGTATATATATATATATGTATATATATATATATATATATATATATATATATATATATATATATATATATATATATATATATATATATATATATATATATTATATTATATATGTTTGTGTGTGTGTATGTGTGTGTATTTATTCACATATGTAGATTTATATACATGTGTTTATTTCTACACACACACACACACGATAAACACCTCCGCTTCCCTCCCTTGACCCCGCTTCCCCTCCCTTGACCACGCTTCCCTCCCTCTTCCACGCTTCCCCTCCTTGACCACGCTTCCCCTCCCCCCAGGTGGCCAACGTGACATCCACCGAGGAGGACAGGAAGGACCCCGCCGTGTTCTCCCGCTGGCAGGTGACGACGGGGCTGCACGTCCTGGTGCTCAGCCCGAGGGATGGGAGGCTGCTCTTCAGACGGTGTGTGTGTGTGGTGTGTGGGGGGGGGGGGGAGAGGGAAAGGGGGAAAGGTGGGGAGGGAAGGGGAGGGAGAGGGAGGGAAGGAGGGAAGGGAGGGAGGGAGAGGGAGGGAGGGGAGGGAGGGAGGGGAGAGGGAAAAGGAGGGAAAGGGATGTGGAGGGAGGAGAGGGGGAGGGAGAGAGAGGGAAAGGGTGGGAGAGAGCGAGAGAGAGAGAGAGAGAGAGAGAGAGAGAGAGAGAGAGAGAGAGAGAGAGAGAGAGAGAGAGAGAGAGAGAGAGAGAGAGAGAGAGAGAGAATGAGTGAATTTGTGTATGTTTATTTGTCAATGTTTGTCCTTCAAATACTCGTGCAATAATGAGAAAACAGGACTAACTATTAAACCATTAAGACAAACAATATTCTTAGCAGTAAAACGTAACGCGTAGTTCCCGATTTCTCCGCTAGGATGCTGATGACGTCACAATTTGGGCTGTCGCAAGAAATTCCGAGTCTGTTGATGTCTTTGACCAGCGGCAACATCCTCGTCATTGCAATCAAGGTGCGGATGTTACTATGTCGTAGGAAATTTGCCAATTAACATTTTTCTCTTTCTCTTTTTCTCTCTGTAATCGTATTTCTGTGTTGTTGATCTGCGTGTTTCTGTGTTGGTGTTGTGGGTGATTGTCTTGTTGTTATGCGCATTTCTGTGTTGTTTTTATGTATTTTGCTGTGTTGTTATTGTGTACATTGCTGTATTTTTATTATGCATATTTCTGTGTTGTTATTATGGATATTTCTGTGTTGTTATTATGGCTATTTCTGTGTTGTTATTATGGCTATTTCTGTGTTGATTTTATGGTTATTTCTGTTGTTATTATGGCTATTTCTGTGCTGTTATTATGGCTATTTCTGTGTTGTTATCATGCATATTGCTGTCTTATTCTTAGACATTCAATACGTGTAAAATCCCACGACACCAACAACCGTTCGAAAAATAACCCTCCCTCCCAAACTCACCAGAAAGATCTCAAAAAAAAAAAAAAAAAAAAAAAAAAAAAAAAAAAAAAAAAATTAAATAAAAAAATAAATAAAAAATAAATAAAAAAAGTTTCCCACTCCGCCTCTCTTTCAGAACGACGGGGCCCTCAACCTGACCCCGACGGCGCGCTCCCTCCTTCAGTCGTTTGGCGTGAAGACCGCCCACGCCCTCCGCTTCCGCAATAACCTCGCGTGGGTGGGCACGGTGGGCGGGAGGACCTGGGGGGAGGCCGCCACGCCCAACGTCGACGAGAGGGCGAACCACGGGGTCCTGTGGTCCTCCCCCGTGGTCCTCGAGGTGCAAGTTCCTCGACGTCCTTCGGGTGAGGGCGAGAGACGACCTAGAGGCTGTTCCGTAGAATAAACGATAATTCTGATATAGCATATACTTGGGTTTCTCCTAGTTGAGTCCTAAAAGATAGTTGTGATATAAGATATATTTGGGTGTCTCCTAGTTGAGTCCTAAATTCTGATAATTCTGATATAGGATATATTTGGGTGTCTCCTAGTCCTAAATTCTGATAATTCTGATATAGGATATATTTGGGTTCCTCCTAGTGGAGTCCTAAATTCTGATATATAAATTCTAAATTCTGAAGTCCTAAAAGATAATTGTGATATAGGATGTATTTGGGTTTCTCCTAGTGTTGTCCTAAATTCTGATATATGATATATCTACGTGTCTCTTTGTGAAGTCCTATAAGATAATTATGTAAGATATATTTATAATTCTGATGTAGGATATATTTGCGTGTCTCCTAGTAAAGTCCTAATTCTGATAAATGATTTTTCTACGTGTATTTTAGTGAAGTCCTACAAGTATATATTTGGGTTTCTGATGATCCTAAATTCTGATATAGGATATATTTGGGTTTCCAGTGAAGTCCTAAATTCTGATATAGGATATATTTGGGTTTCTGATGATCCTAAATTCTGATATAGGATATATTTGGGTTTCTGATGAAGTCCTAAATTCTGATATAGGATATATTTGGGTTCCTTCTAGTGGAGTCCTAAATTCTGATATGCGATTTATCTACGTGTCTCCTAGGGAAGTCCTTTAAAGATAGTTGTAATATAAGATATATTTGCGTGTCTCCTAGTAAAGTCCTAGCTTCTGATATATGATATATCTACGTGTCTCCTAGTGGTTTTAATTTCTGATATATGATAAATCTACGTTTCTCCTAGTGGTCCTAAAGGATAATTCTGATATAGGATATATTTGGGTTCCTCCTAGTGGAGTCCTAAATTCTGATATGTGATATATCTACATGTCTCCCGGTAAAGTCCTAAAGGATAGTTCTGATATACTATATATCTACGTGCCTCCTTGTGAAGTCCTAAAAGAATTCTCATAAATGACATAGTCCTAAAATCCCAAACGATCATTCAGATATAGGACACATATAGGAAAACCAACCTTACAGCCTTTTGATATCCAACCACAAACCTTCCACCACAGAGTCTTCTTGCTTCCCCACGAGCGAGCCCAGAGAAGCTGCCAGGGCCTCCTTCTGCGCCCGCCACGACGGCTACGGGACCCTGTGCTCCTGCGAGAACCCGGCTCCTCTCACCTACCATCCTCCTGAGGTCTGGAATATGTGCTACAACAGCATGGTATAGAGAGAGGGATAGAGAGAGAGGGAGGGGAGGAGGAGGGAGAGGGATAGAGAGAGAGGGAGGGGAGAGGAGAGGAGATAGAGAGAGAGGGAGGGGATAGAGGGGAGGGGAGAGAGAGAGAGGGATAGAGAAGAGGGATAGAGGAGAGGGAGAGGGATAAGAGGAGACAGAGAGAGATAGAGGGAGAGAAAGAGAGAGAGACAGGGAGAGATAGAGGGAGAGAAAGAGAGAGAGAAGGATAGAGGGAGAGAAGAGGATAGAGGAGAGAAAGAGTAGAGGGAGAGATAGAGGGAGAGAAAGAGAGGGGGAGATAGAGAGAGAGAAAGAGAGAGGCAGAGAGAGACAGAGACAGAGAGATAGAGGGAGATAGAGAGAGATAGAGGGAGATAGAGGGAGAGAAAGAGAGAGAGAGAGAGAGAGACAGAGAGAGATAGAGGGAGAGAAAGAGTTGCAGAAAGAAATTAAAACCATGCTAACCACACGTACTAAGTAACGCGCAAAAAAGATCAGTGAAATAAACATATATAAAAAAAGATTAATAACCATAGATCGTAAACTAACACACATACGTCAGTAAAAAGTATATAAAGATAAATAGACGAATATATAGATAAATAAAAAATTAATAAATACATATACATATATATAAATAAATGAATATATATATATATATATAAATGAATAAAAAGGTAAACAAGTAGATAAATAAATGAAAAAAATAAACAACTGTTCTTGCTCACCTCCCACGTGACATCAACAGCTAGCAGACAGCACCATCGACGACGTCCCCCTGGTCATAGTGGCTGACAACCGACCACCTTATCTCTACAGGTAACACCCTTCACATCACTCAATATCTCAAACCTCTTAAACCGAAGACAAGTTCCTTCCATGGCTACTAAACCGATGAAAAAGAGGTGGACGACAGATATAAAATCCTTATTTCCGTTCCAGGACCCTCGTGACGGTACTCAGGCAGCCCGGAGGACACACTCGAAGGATTCTTGTGTATGTACACGGCCACCATCCGGAGGTTGTCGAGCTCCTTGAACTTCTACAGGTACTTAGAGTGTCAAGAATACCATTGGGAGTAGGATAAGTGACATAATGAGGGAAGGTGAGTCATTTGACTATCTTCCTCAAACAGAGATATATATAGATGGAGAGAGAGATGGATATATATATTATATATATATATATATATATATATATATATATAATATATATATATATATATATATATATATATATATATATGAGAGAGAGAGAGAGAGAGAGAGAGAGAGAGAGAGAGAGAGAGAGGAGAGAGAGTGGAGAGAGTGAGAGATGGAGAGAGAGAAATGAGAGAGAGAAAAGATGGAGAGAGAGATGGAAGAGAGAGAAAATGGAGAGAGTGAGAATTGGAGAGAGAGTGATGGAGAGAGATAGAGGAGAGGGAGAGAGAGAGAGGAGAGGTGAGAGAGAGGGAGAGAGTGGAGAGAGAGAGAGAGGAGTTGAGAGAAAGAGAAGAAGAGAGTTGGAGAGAGAGAGAGTTGGAGATAGAGATGGAGAGAGAGAGAGATGGAGAGAGAGAGAGAGGGAGAGAGAGGGAGAGAAAGAGAGGGAGAGGAAGAGAGAGAGAGAGGGAGAGAGGATGGAGGAGAGGAGAGAGGAGGGAGAGAAAGAGAGGGAGAGAGAGAGAGAGAGAGAGAGAGGAAGGGAGAAGAAGAGAGAAAGAGGGAGAGAAAAGAGAGAGAGAGAGAAAGAGAGAGAGAAAGAGAGGAGAAAGAGAGAGAGAGAGAGAGAGAGAGAGAGAGAGAGAGAGAGAGAGAGAGAGAGAGAGAGAGAGATAGATTAGATAGATAGATAAAGATAGATAGATAGATTAGAGAGAGGAGGAGAGGAGAGAGCGAGAGAGAGGAGAAAGAGAAAGAGAGAGAGAGAAGAACAGAGACAAAGATAGACATAACGTGATCGACATAGCCAAACAGACAGCTAGACAGACAGCCAGACAGACAGACAAAGAGACCGAACCAAACACAGCGTAGAGAAGACCCCACATCACGCCCTCCTCCCCGCCCATCCTCAGGTCCCTTACGAGGAGGACCTGGTCGAGGTCGACAGCCAGATCGAGGGTAAGATCGCCGAGCACTACCGCAAGGCCCTCGAAGCCGCCTTCTCCCGTTTCCCTGAGGCTCCTAAGGCTATTCTGCTGGAGGAGGACCTGCTCGTTGCCCCAGACTTCTTCAGGTGAGCGCCGGGGTGGGGAAAGACCCGTATTGTGTGTGTGTGGTGTTGAGGGCGTGGTGTGTATTTATGGGTGTGTGAGGGTTAAGTGGTGTCGTATTGTGTGTGAGTGTGGGGGGGGGGTAAGTGCGTGTGTATTGTGTGTGTGTGTGTGTGGTGTGTGAGGGCATTACGTGTTGTATTTATGTTGTGTTGAGGGTAAGTGCTTGTGTGTTTATGTGTGTGTGTGTTGTTGATGTTTGTGTGAGGGTAAGTCGTGTGTATTATGTTTGGTGTGGGTAAGAGCGTGTGTATTGTGTGGTGTGGGTAAGAGCGTGGTTGGTTATGTTTGTGTGAGGGGTAAGTGGCGTGTGTATTTATGTATTTATTTATTTCTCCCTTCCCCCTTTCATCAACCACTCCCTTCCTCCTTTTATCACCAATCTTCCCCTCTTATCCCCTTCCCCCCCTCTTATCACCCCTTTCCCCTTCCCCTCTTATCACCCGCTCCCCTCCCCTTTCATCACACCTCCCTTCCCCCTTACTTCCCATTCACCCCTCCTTCCCCTCTTATCACCCCTCCCTTCCCATTTCACACCATCCCTTCCCCCCTTATCACCCTTCCCCTTTCCCCCTCTTATACCCTCCCTTCCCCTCTTTATCACTTTTTCACCCTCCCCTTTCCCTCTTATCGCCACTCCCCTTCCCACTTTTATCACCCTCCCCTTCCCACTTTTATCACCCCTCCCCTTCCCCCTCTTTCACCCCTCCCTTCCCCCTTTTATCACCACTCCCCTTCCACTTTTACCCCACTCCCCTTTCCCCCTCCCTTTCATTCATCCCCCACTCCCCTTCCCACTTTCATCACCTCTCCCTTTCCCCTCCAGTTTCTTCAACCAAACGGCCTGGCTGCTTGACCACGGACTCCAGCCTCGTGTGCGTGAGTGCCTGCCGAATGACCTCAGCAGCTTGCACGTGGCCCATGACCCCACTTGTTGCCGCCGCGGTGGAGACCTTACCTGCCTGGGTGGATGCTCACGAGGCACTGGCGGAGGAACTGCTGCGGGCTTTGGCACGGAAAGAAGAAGGGTGGGGTGTCCTGCGGAGTTTGGGTGGGTGGCGGTGGGTGGGTAGGGGGTGGGGCGGGATTGCAAAAATGGCGGTTTTGTTGTGTTTTAATCTCTTTGTCTTTCTGGATCTCTCTGGCTCTCCTTTCTCTCTGTTGCTCTTTCTCTGTCTTCTCTTATCTCTCTGTTCTCTTTCTACTGTCTCTCTTCTCTCTGTTGCTTTGCTTTGCTTGCTCTCTTGCTCTCATTTCTCTTTCCTCTTTCTTTCGTTCTCTCTCTCTCTTCTCTCTCTCTCTTCCTCCATCCTCTATCTCCTCTCTCCATCTCTCCTCCTGTCTCTTGGCTCTCTCTCTCTCTCTCCTCTCTCTCTGTCTGTTCTGGTCTGGTCTCTTCTCTCTCTCTCTCTTGTTTCTCTCGTATTCTCTCCTCTCCCTCCCTTCCTGCCCTCTGCCTCTATGTAGTCCCTTTTTGGTTTTGTTTTTCTCTCTAATTTATGATTTCTTTTTCTTGATAAATTACAGAATATTGTGATAATTGCCACCAGTGTACTTTCACTACTGTTATCATTAATATATTTATCATGGTCCTCCTTAATATTATTTGCATAATTATTTTGATAATCATCTTTCTTTGGTAGAATAAAGTATTTTTAGAATAGAGTACATTTCTGTTTAACATTGAATTTTTTTTTTTTTTTTTTTTTTTTTTTTTTTTTTTTTTTTTTTTTTGTTTAATTTTTTCAATCTTTATGTGGAATTTCAAATAGAGCTCTTTCATTTTTATCCTGTAATTAGATTGAGACCTCGATGTCATAAGTAGTTTTAAAAAAATTTCCTTTACTGTTAATTTCCTTCTCTTCTTCCAAATTTCTTTTGCACCGGTTCCTAAAGAAAACAAACAACAACAACAAAAAAAAAAACAAAAATGTTCAAATAATATATTTTTTATTTCCTCCACTATCAATCAAAATTCTTTTCCCAAACAAGTACAACAATATTTTTCCTTTTCCTTCAGCCAAAGAAGGAAAAACACTACTCTGCCAGTTCCGAAAAAACAAAAAAACGACAAAAACCCAAAAAACAAAAACAAAACAAAACCAAAAAACCAAAGAAACGAACAAACAAAACAAACAAAACAAAAAACACAAAAAACAAACGAAAAAAACATTCAAAACAAAAAATTTTCCAATAATTTTTCTTCTGGCTTCAACCTCACGCCCATCTTACAGGACCAAGACTGGGACATATGGGCGCGCGGGATGGACGTCATCGGTGGGCGTGAGTGCGTGGTGCCAGACGTCAGCCGCACTTTCCACATAGGCCTATCTGGCGCCCACAACCCAGGCCTAATTCACGCAGCCTTTTTCTCAGCCAGGCCTATGCCGGCAGAGAACTATGTGCAATTGAAGAATGTTGATAGGTTAAGGATACGATTTTTTTTTTTTGAAAAGGTTGAATAGAAAACGGTGTTTATTTTCTCATTTTTATATGTTTATTTATTTATTTATTTATTTATTATTATTTTTTTTTTATAAGAGTGGCTCTATATGTTTTTTTTTTAAGAGTGGAAAGATTTTTTGCTTTTTTGATATAGATCAAGCTGAAGATTGTATGGATGATTTCACTGAAGAAATTTTTCAAATTTACTCCTATAAAGAAAGACATTTTTTTTTTTACATGCAAAATGAAACACACCTTAATCTAAAAAAACTCTTCTCTCTCATCTCTTCTCTCTCTCTCTCTCTCTCTCTCTCTCTCTCTCTCTCTCTCTCTCTCTCTCTCTCTCTCTCTCTCTCTCTCTCTCTCTCTCTCTCTCTCCATCTCTTCTTTCCCTCCTCTCCCTCTTTCGCTCCTCTTCCCTCCCTCCCTCCTCCCTCCTCCCTCCCTCTCCCTCTCCTCTCTCCTCCCTCCCTCCTACCTCTCCCGTCCCTCCCTCCCTCTCTCTCTGACAGACTGACCTCCGAGAAATACGAAGAAGACATCTATGCGTTACTGGAAGAAGGTCCTCTTTTCCTTGACACGAAACTACATCCTTGCGACGAGCACTATTTGCCCCGGAATATCACAGTAAGTATGGGTTGTGTCTGTGTGTCTGTTTGTGGTGTCTTGTTTAGGTGCGTGGGTGTGGTTTGTTTTGTGTCTG